TCTTTCATTAATGATTAATGTAGTCTAAGAAAAAAAGCAAGTTTGAGGATTGAAAAAAAATACTTAAAATTGTCCAGAAGAATTTTAAAAAATTGTGTTAAAGAAATAAGAATGTAATGGAAGACACATTTTTGTGGCAATAGGTAAATGATCACTTTGTAGTACAATTAACATGATGTCAGATTTGTGCCTGCTTCCTTTACTTTAGGGTGCTCGTTACCTATACTGTAATAAATTAATATTTTTTATTCTCATAAGTGATTGTTTTAATTAATATATTAATGTGAAATGTTATGTTAATATTCTTTCATTGAGAAGTTGGATGATATTTTCAGAGGCTGCCTAAATGTAACCTTTGCTTGTTGTAATTGAAAGTTTGGAACAAGTTGAAAGTTACTGATTATTAAAATCAATAATCATGTTATCTTTTTTCCTTTTCTGCATTAATGTCATTAGGCATGTTCTCAGATCTCTAATATTCTTTTAAAATATTATTAACTTATTTGTGATTAAGGTGTAAATTTTGTTTTAATATCTATGGCATATTACAGATAGTGGGATTACCTTAATATGTAATGATATTTATAGTCTTTTTTTACTAAATACTAATTTTAAAATATAAGAGAAATTTGTACTTTTGAGTAATCCAGTTGTCATGCCTTTTTAAAAAAATTCTCATCTAATGAGACTAAACATACAAATATTACTTTCTTTTAAATTGCACATACAATATTTTTATAAATTTAAATAGAATAACCATAATAATTTTGCATTAATACCATCTAAGAATAAAAAACAAGCTTGAAGATTGAAAAAAAAAATACTGTTTCTATTAAAGCCGAAAATTGTCCAAAAGAATGTTATGTGCATATAACGACAGTTTAACCATTTCTTTGCTGATTTGGATGCCTTTTATTTCCTTCTCTTGTTGTATTGCCTAGCAAGCACTTCCAATACAATAGTGAAAAGAAGTGGTGACAGTGGGCTTCCTTGTTTGGTCCCTGTTTGCAAGGAAAATGTTTTTAGTCGTTCTCCATTGAGAATGATGTTGACTCTTGGTTTTGCACAAATACTTTCACTATGTTGAGAAAATTCCCCTCTATTCCAATTTTTCTGAATGTCTTTATCAGAAAGGTTGTTGGATTTTGTCAAATGCCATTTCTGCATCAATTGCTAAGATCATATGGTTCTTGTTACTTACTTTGTTAATACAGTGAATTACGTTGGTTGTTTTTCTTATGCTGAACCATCCCTGCATTGTTGTTGTTGTTGTTAAGTGCTGTCGAGTCGCAGGAGACTCATAAGGACCCTATGAAAGAGAGTCCTCAGTGCTTGGGTGTCTCTCATCATTTCTCCAAGTTCATAGGGTTTTGGGAGGCAAGCTATTTTTCTTATGCTGAACCATCCCTGTATACCTGTTATAAATCCCACTTGGTCATAGTTACTTTTTTTTTACTGTGCTTTTGTATTCTATTGACTTTTTTTGTTAATGATTTTTACATCTATATTCATTAGAGATATTGGTCTGTAGTTTTCTTCTTGGTAATATCTTTGCCTGGTTTGGGTATTAGGATTATGCTTGCTTCATAGAATGAATCTGGAAGTGTTCCTTCTTTTTCAATTTTTTTTGAAAGAATTTAAATAGAATGGGTGCTAAATCCTCTCTGAATGTTTGGTAGAATTCAGCTGTGAAGCCGTCTGGTCTAGGACTTTTAGGGGGAAGTCTTTTTGTGACCTTTTCAATTTCTTCTCTTGTGATGGGTCTGTTCAGATGATCTATATTTGTCCTTGTCAATCTGGGCAAGGTATGTGTTTCAAGGAATTTGTCCATTTCCTTTACGTCATCAAAAACTTTTTCCTACAGGGTGAAAATAAAACCTACAGACTGGAAACAAACATTTGGTAATACCATCTCAGACAAGAATCTTATAACAAAAGTTTACAGACTATTCCTGGGCCTCCACAAGAAAAAGACTGATAACCCAATTACAAAATGGGCAAAAGACACATGGAAAGAACTTTTACAGAGAAAGATAGGACAAGGTGTTTGAGGCTTGGCTTAGGCTTTAAGGCAGGCAGTGCACCATATGATCAAGAGCCAATGATAATGGAGGAGGAAGTAGAATCTGCATTGAAAGCATTGGCTTAAAATAAGGCCCCAAGATCAATGAGATACCAACTGACATATTTCACATGACAGATGCAATGCTGAATGTGCTCAGTCTATGCCAGGAAATTTGGAGGACAGCTGCTTAGCTGATTGACTGGAAAGGATCCATAATTGTTTCAGTTCCTAAGAAAGGTGACAACGGAATATGGAAATTATGCAACATTATGATTAATATCGCATGCAGTCAAAATACTGCTGAAGAATGTTCAATAACAACGAGAATAGTACAAGACAAAAACTGCCAGAAATTCAAGCTGTGGCACCAGGGATGTCATTGAGCTGCAAGAAGAGGCACCAGGAATGTCATTGCTGACATCAGATGGATCCTGGCTGGAAGCAGAGAACACCAGAAGGACGCCGATGCTTCACTGGGTGTGCAAAGGTTTTATGGCTAAAACTGAGAAGAATGGAAATCCCACAACACTTAATTGTGCTTATGTGAAATGTGAAACCTATACCTAGATAAAAAAGCTGTTGTGTAAAAATGAGCAAGGGAGCACTAAATGGTTTAAAATTAAGAAAGGCATGTGTCAGAGTTATATCTTCTTTCCATACCTATTCTGTGTGTATGCTGAGCAAATTATTCAAGAGGCCAGAATCTATGAAGAAGACTGTGGCATCGAGATAGGCAGAAGACTCATCACTAACCTTCATTAAGCAGATGATAACAGCCTTGCTTGATGAAAGTAAGAACGACTAGAAGCACTTGCTGCAGAAGACCAAAGAATACAGTCCTCAGTATGGTTTGCATCTCAAATTGCTGCCACTGGGCCAATAGACAACATCATGATAAAGGGAGGAAAGATTGAAATGGTCAACAACTTTGTCTTACTTGGAAACATAATCAACACCCTTGGTACCCACAGTTAGATCAGGAGATGTGTTGCATTGGGCAATTTGGTAGTCAAGGTTCTCTAACTTATGGATGAAAATGATGTCAGTTTGAGGACTAGGGTGTTTCTGGTTCATTCAGGTCATGGCCCTTTAAATACATTCTATGCTGCTGAGAACTGAACAATGAATAAGGGTGACAGAAGAAGAGTTGATGCCTTTGCACTGTGATGCTGGAGATGAGTACGGAATACCTCATGAACTGCCAAAGAACAAATATGTCTTTGAGAAAGTGCAGCCAGTGTGTTCCTTGGAGGCAAAGATGATATACTTTGTGCATGTTACTAGAAGAGGCTATTCCTTGGAGAGGGACATTATGCTTGGAAAGTTATACAGATGGCAAAAGAGAGGAAGACCCTCAACTGGACACAGTGACTGTTGTAATGAGATTGAGTGTGTCAAAAATTGTGAGGGTGGCATAGGATAGGACAGGATAGAAAGATCTGTTATCAACTTTCATGGGGTCACTATGGGTCATATGCAACTTGGTGGCACCTAACAAGAACACCCTTAGACAATCTTGTTGTAGTCTTTTGGAGTTCTTCTCTCGGCAACTCTGGTGTGTTGTCTACAGTTTTGTAGTGATCCTTCCCTCATTGTTCTCTCAAGATAGCTGACATCGCATTGTAGCTTTTAGAATACTTAAAGGAGGTTTGGGAATTGAAAAAGGGAACTATAATACAGAAAACAAAACTGTACAGATGTTATCAGAATTTCTAGTTCATTTGTCAAGAACAAGCATATTTTAGAGCATTATTTAGAGACCATTTTCTTAAAGGAAACAATCTCAAGAATGGCTATTTTGCCCCTTAGATTACTCTTTGCCATCCTTTGTAGAACCATTTAGTTGTGTAGTTATCTTATGCTTCTTCCTGAGATGGTTCTGTGTTCACACATTCCTTTTGGTTCAATGATTACGTGTATTCCCTCCATTTTCTTCTGATGCTTTTGGAATCGTTTAAGATTTTGCCCATAGCATCCTTCAGTATTGCAACTTGAGGCTTGAATTTATTTTTCAGTTCTTTCAGCTTGAGAAATTGAGTGGGTGAATGACACAAGGTAGGACAGGTTTGTTGTTCAAAGGGTTATCATGAGTAATAAATGCTCAACTCGATGGCACCTAAAAACAACCACTTGAAATTAATCTCTTGTATTAGTTGATTTTGAGTCCTAGTGACCCTGTAAGGGAGAGTTGAACGATTTCATAGACTTTACAAGAATTCCCTTCCTGAAGCTCTCAGCTACATCTTTCTCCCAACTCCTGACAAAATCTGACTTTTAGGTTAGCAGCCAACTGGTTAAATGCTGAGCTATCTGAACTCCTTAGAAATGAACGTCTTTGATTTACTTAGATAAATCTAAAAATTCAAAGAAATTTTTTTCTTAAAAAAATCATTTCTAGCTACTTCAGTTAGATCTCCATGAGATAGATCGACACAGATGGATTGACACAGGAGTAATAGGGGAGGTGTGATGAAGATATAAGACTTGCTCAGGGTAGGGCAGGGTTCATAGCTATTGTGCATAAGGAGGTCACTATGAGTCCTAATCGACTCAATGGCACATAACAACAACGGCTTTTACCCAAGCATGCGCCATCCATCTCCTTCCTTTCACTGGATGTTTCTTGGAGGTTAACATGCTCAGGAGTTGTTGTTGTTGTTGTTTATCAGAGAGTTGGAGCCAACCCATAGCTGACCCTCCAGCAGGTTTCCAGAGACAGTTAATCACACGGGAGGAGACTGCCCATTCTTCTCCCACAGAGCAGCTGGTGGATACAAACCATATGTCTTCAGGATTGCAGTGCAGCTTCTTACCCTCCTCTCTGACTTTTCCCATTACAATTCCCTCCTCTTCCTGTTTTGTTTTTTTTTTTTTTACTTTTTCTCTTTCTTATGTCTCTATTTTGTTGCTGTAATTCTGCAGAAGGTCAGGTAGTAATCAAATTGCCCTTCAGAGATAATAGAACAATTATTTATAATATTTAATCATTGATTTATCCCTAGTTATAGAAGTGATTGTAACTAAGTGTATATTGAGTGTATATTATTTTAATTTGCAAAAAATAGAAAATATCCCTGCTTTTAGCCAATAACATTTGATATAATGCATAATTACTTAAATTTGGACAACGAAAGTAGTTACAACTTTATGGGGCTGATGAAGTTCTCTAGCCAGAGTGTAGATTTATAAGGTGTTCTGGCAGTGTGGAGTGGCAACCTATCGGACTGCTAATGAAAAGGTTCACAGTTCAAATCTACTAACTCCACTGTAATTTCTTTCTGTAAAGTTTTAGAGCCTCAGAAACTGCTTGGAAGGTTACCAAATCAGATTAGATTTGACAGCAGTGGGTTATGGTGATGATCTATTTCTTATGGGGAGTTTGTATTGTTTTGTAAATATGTTACTGACTTTTAGAAAATATTATACAACTATTTCTTTCTTTAGCAATACATTTATTATTGCCTCATTCATTGATGATAAGTTGTAAGAAACCTAAAGCCTTCCTCTTTCTTTTATCCTAGGTATGAATTAATTCAGAAGGGACAGATTGAACATAGAAGTGCTAAGAAAGTTCCAGATGTCTATACCCAGAATATGCTTTTAGAAAGTGAGAACAAAGAGTTGAAGAAAGAATTAAAGCACTACAAACAGGCAGCTGAGTATGATACTTTTAAATTAATCATTTATGTATACATATATAAAATATATATGAAATTTTAATACATATAAAATTTTGTGCTCAATAAAAGTAAGAGTTTGAAGGAGGCTAGTGTGTAAATGGTGGGTGGTTAATGTACCAAACCTTTAATTCCAGAGAACTGAAGTTCTAGTTGGAAATAATGTAGAGACTTTGTTGTTGTTGTGTACTGTTGAGTCTGAACCAACCCATAGTTGACCCTCCAGTAGGTTTTCAGAGGCAGTAAATCACATGGGAGGAGATTACCCATCTTTCTTCCATGGAGCAGCTCGTAGCTTCGAACCCTGTGCCTTTGGGATTGCAGTGCAGTTTCTTTGACACGGGACCATGAGAGCTCCATAAGAGGCTTTACTAGCAGATAAATTAAGAAGATGCCACCTCATTGAACCTCACTGACAAGAATGGAATGCAAGTGGATTGTGAAGGAAATGGAATGTTTATGTAACATTTATTTACTTAAGTATTCTAATAATATTTTACATACATTGTAAACTTTACCCCTGTGAAAACAAGCTAATTTTTTATGTAATAATATTATAGAAAGTAGAGAGGAAAAGAGCCAGTAACTTTATTCCTAGTAGATGAACTTTAAGATTTGAAAATTACCCAAAGGAAACATTTGCTTTTTAATTTCCTAACATGCATGTAGGCACTGGGAAGAAAACTAGCAATCTGAAACCATATCTCTGTGTTTGTCTTTGTTTTTAACATTAATGGAAGGCTACAAATTCCAGCAAACAAATTTAGAGAAACAGCTAGTTATTCTGGAAAAGGCAAAAATGTGAATGTGTCAACGTGGGCAAATCTACTCATCTGTATGGAAAATCATTCCTCAGAAATGACGCTGGGTCAGTTTGTGCAGAAGCTGTGCTGCAATCCCAAAGGCATTCTGTTCAAATCCACTAGATGCTCTGTGGGAGAAGGATGGGCAGTCTCCTTCTGTGTGATTTGTGGCCCTGGAGAATCTGCAATAGGTCCATTCTAACCCTGCAGACAACAAATGTGTCTGAGGAAGACTTTCACTGTTAAACAATTATATTAAAACAAAAGTTAGATCAACAGAACTACTAGAAGGAAACATAATATCTAAAAATCTTTCTAAAAAATAATGCAAAGACTCTGAAACTCATTGTTGCAAAGTGGAGAAAACCTACCAGAGGCCTTCATAAATAGTGAGGTTGCTAATATTAACCTGCACGTTTAAAAGTGGCTCTAGATAGAGGATAATTTGTACAGTCATTTGTACAGCTATTGTGTTCATGTTTCTATAAAGTACATCATATTTTCAATGGATAGCCTAGTGGCAAAAGCTGCGCTTCAATTCCAAAGACACATGGTTCGAGACCACCAGCTAGTCTGTGGGAGAAGGACAGGAGATTTTCTCCTGTGCAATTAACTGCCTCTGAAAACCTGCTAGAGGGTCAGCTGAGGTTCAGTTCTGACTATGATACACAGCAACAGCACTGTTTGACACTTTATCTTTTACACAGAATTGTATGATGATCCACCAGAAGGATGTCTTGTAGATCTGGTGTTTTCTCTATTTTTGGTGCCATCTCTCAGAAGTGATCTGCTGGTTGCCTAATGCTCACTCTGTTTTAGTATCGGCATCTAATGGATGTGCTGGGAATTTGACACAGCAGATTTCTCAGATTGCTGCCTGGCGTACTGTGTCAGTTCCTAATTTCCTTGGACTTACTGCTTGAATTTGCTAATTGTCTTTGGAATAAATATATCTTCACTTTCAATGAGTTTTTCGCTAGTGACATTGAATAATCATTGTTTATTACTTGTTGTTTGTTGAATATTATTTAATAACTATAATGAAAATGATATACACTATTATACTTGTAAGTTATTAATTTGATGTTAAAAGGGGCCATAATTAAAGTAAATATCACCTAAAAATCTGTATCTTGTTTGTGTTAACTAAAATATTTGATTGCTGTTTTAGTTTCAATGGTTTATAGGAATTTCTCAAGTCTGTCTAATTTGATAGAAACTCTGGAAAATTAGAAGAGCAGAAATATAATTTGCTTTAATCTGTCTGATATGACAAAACTTGAGTGAAGCTGCTTAACTTTTAGTAGATATTTAATAATTATTTGTTAAATTAATGTAGCACTATTTGGTAAGTATATCCTTGTAGTCCTGGTTCTATTAGACACATTATCAGAAAATCAGAATGAGGTTTTATTAAAAAAAAACTAAAATCCCAGAAATGTATGTTATGCTATAGCCTTGTCCCCAAATACAAAGTATTCCATAATTACTTTTTAAGTTTTCATTTTGACATTTGAGGATATGTTTCCCTTAAGAATATGGAATACACATTAAATTTGACTTACAGAATTTAAATATTTATCTTTCTTAAGATTAGGCTCTTGTTTAAGAGAGTGTATATTCTAAATTATTGAATATACCATGGACTACTAAGAAAACAAACAAGTTCATCCTGGAGAGGGTGAAGCCAGGCTGCTTCTTGGAGCCAAGGATTCTGAAATTTCGTCTGACATATTTTGAACATGTTGCAAGGCGGGATCAGATGGAGGTAGATGTGTCAGAGACACTGAGATTGGCACTGGACAGAGCAGGGTTTAGGGCTGTTGTACATAGGGTCACCATGAGTTGCAAGCTACTCAACATCACATAATAACAACAATATTCTAAATACTTTTAAAATTTTTCTTTATTTTTAAAAATTTTGCATTGATTTACATACAAAGTTTGTATATATCATGTTTCACTCTACCCTTCATTCACGTTGTTTTTCATGCAGTAATTCTCATTTATTGTTGTTGTTGTTGTTATGTGCCATCGGGTCTCTTGCAACTCATAGCAACCCTATCTACAAGAGCCCTACACTTTGCTCTGTCCTGTGCCAATCGTACTGTCTCTGATACACCCATCCCAATTACCC